TCTTTCCCATTTACTGATTCCTTGAGTACAAACTCACAAATTGGATTCAGCATATGGTTGGCCAACCTAAACAGTGGAGGACAACAGCAGATAAGGAACTGCACATTGGTTCCTACTACTGTAGATAGAGGTGGTGCTATTTTACTCTATGCTCTAGATTTTCCGTTGAGACTTGCTTGAGGAAAAGCCAGGTGGGAAGACTATAAAAGATTTTGTTACCTATAGGAGTGCTTTGAAAGGTCAAGAGTTGGAGTCATTTTATCAGCTGTAACGGTGTAGTTAGAGTGTCACAGACTTCTACATGAAAGAACATTTTGCCTGAAAGCATTTTCTTTCCACTTAAACCTGGGACTTTTTCAGAAGGCTTGAGTATAACTACATCAAGGTATATCTGTGTTTGAAAGTCTATCAGAAGTTTATAGTAGGTGAGAAATTGTAGCATGCCACACTATGAGGAAAAAGAGGAGAGATGGGGGTTTTGTTGATTGTTGTTTGTTTTTTTTTTAATGAAAGCTCCTAACGTCATGGCATTTCTGGACAAAATCTTCATATATGAACAATTTTTTTCAGGAAAATTTAGCAAGAAATCTGTGTTTTAAAGCAATGCTCAATCACAATGATAAATTCAGTTAGCCTGAGTGTGCCAGGGTAGATTGAGAAGACAATTCAGACACTTTTGTCAGACCTGCATTGCAAGGGGCGTCACCCTGCCAGAGGGAGTTTGAAATTCTAATGTGATGTTCTCTGCTGATGCTCTGTGTGGTATGTGGAGAATACAAACTGCTTTGTGCTGATGGGATTTGGGGGAATAAGCAGTTTCCTGTCCTGAGGAACCTGGATATGTCTTGATATCTTGTCTCATGATACTTTGTACCAGTGTGTATCACAAATGTGGTTTCCTTCTTTTAGTGAGCAAGGAGCTTCCAATGACTATTGTATAAATTCCTATTACAAGTATCCTTGTATTTTTTCAGTAGCTACTAGGGACAGATTGTGGGCAAGCAGTGAGAGGGAATAGGTCACATCCACTATGATGGACACCATAGCCCATCTTTCACCAAGATAAAGGCAAAGAGCTACCACACTCTTGCTCAAATTGATGAGAAGCAACCCACCAGGTTCACCCTTTGGTGAGGAATGTATGTTTCAGTTTAAGTTTAAATCCATGCTTCAGAAAACTATGAAAAGGGATTATTAGTTGTATTTTGGTTAACATTCCTTGTGATACATCAGCAAAGTTGGCTTGTAGATCAGAAGAGCAAAACTAAAACCTAGAGAAAAGCAAAGCATGTGTATGGAAGGTGCATACCTGAAGCTGATATTTGGTGGGAACAAACCTACTTACTGTTTCTGTCTTGCTGTGCTTACAGGATAGATGTTGTAACCCATGAGTTGTTCTCAAGTGTAATTCTTAAGTATCAGTCTGGCTTTCCCTCACCTCTCTGATTTCTCAATACTTTGGCACTTAGTCTCTAGGTATGAAAGGCTTGAATGATGTTCATGAGTTGACAAGTCCAACTCTATGCAAGACTGTCAAAATAGGTTGAAGAGCATCTTCAGAACCCATCAATAGGCTTTAATTCAAAAAGAAGACCATACAAACTATATAGGCTGTTACTCATTCTTTACCTAATCCTTAGCCTTTCTTTCTATGCTTAGAGACACTTCATTTAGCCAAGTTTTATGCATGGGAGAGAACGTTGTGAAAAGATTTTTTCATCCAAGCTTGACTGTTTCTGCTTCCTTTTTTTTGGTCTCCCCCTTAAAACTCTTGCTGATAGTCCCTGGACCCTCTCTGGACTGTCTTGTCTTCAGCCTTTTCTAGACATGTGCTGTTTGTTTTCATAGCCTCCATACTCTGAGTAATGCCTTCAGAATAGTTGGCCTTCAGGCTGGGCTGGGAGCAGGTGTGCGTGTTCCTTCTCCCCATTCAGCTTCCCTCTTGTTTATTCAGAGTTTCTTATCTTTTCCATTGTTTTTGCTTTCCTGTGGGGTTGTGTTTTGGGTTGTTTGGGGTTTTTTTGTAATCTATAGTTTCATTTATTCCACAGTAACCCATTACAAATAAACATATCAGGCATGTGCTGTATTAAGAAAACAATTCAATTCCTGAACTCCTGTGGACTCATTTGAAAATCAAAACCCTGCAGAGTATTTTTTAATTAAGCTGATGAGCTTACCTTTTTACATCAAAAAGCATCAATAAAGAAATCAAAGAATTTGCAAGTTATGATTCAGCGTCCAGCTGTCACTAAGCATTTTAATACTGATTTTCTGTCAGCTGTCCTTTAAAAAACTTTTGAAGAATTTGAGTTACTCCTCATCTCTCTTATAATACAGTAAAAAACAATCCTAAATACATTATTATACAAATAATTCTTTCTGTCTTGATCAGCAAAATTTATTCTCTTCCAAAAATTGCTGTAGAGTTTTGTGGTTTTTCAAAAGGGAAAGCTCATTTTTTAGTGCTTGATATCTAATTGCTATCCTTTGAAGGAAAACCAAGAATTTTACCTGTTTGTTGAATAAGAAACACAAACTATTAGTGAGCATGTTCAGTCCTGTGTAAGTTATTGGCATTGGTGTGGAGTGAGCAGGTAGGAATTTATCTTGGGGACATGCTGTTAGGTAAAGACTTACGTTGTTTATTTTCTTAGCCTGATACTTCTCACATAAACTTTTCAACAGGTTTTAATTATAAGAAAGACCTTAAACCTCCTACTTTAACGACTTGACAGGAGAGAAATTGTTTTCTGGTTTGGTGTTAGTATTGCAATCTTTCTCCATTTTGGTCCGTCAGCCAAAAACCTTTTATATTTGAGTATGCTTTTCTAGCTTTGCTGTTTGCTTTTCTTGCTTTGCCTTTGCTGACGTGCTCATCCTCTTCATGAGAAGCAGCTGATAACGTCCTTTTTCTTAGACTTACTCTTCCCTGCAGTCTTTCCACTGAGAGGTGCTTAAACCCTGGCAGAAGATGGGGAACACTATTATTGAAAATGAGACATTGCGGCTTATCAGCAGAGTGTATCATCTAATGCTTCAAGTCATCCTTGCCAGTTGTTACTTAAAACAAGTAACTTATACTGATGCGATCCAACCGACAGCTCTTTATTTAAAGATATATACACTCTTCTCTTTCCTGTTGCTTTTCCTGGGGAACATTGCCGGTTCAGAACTGCCACCACATCGACGCAGGAGTGGGAAGCAGGCCGTGTGCTGCCAAACCAGCCTACAAGGGTGGTCTTCAAACTTAGCAGCAGCAGAAGTGGGATCACTCCGGATTAAACCTGCTTCATTATGCTCCTGCTTCACAAATGGGAACAGCTAAATAGTACGCACAGCTTACTGCGTTTTCTACAGCTGACTAACAGCGACTGGTTAAAAGGCAACGTCTAACGTGCTGCCAGTTGTGTGCCAGGTGGTCAGTGTGTGGCAGCTTCTTTAACCATAAGTGACTTTTGTTGGCCACCATGTGTTTTGCATACAGTCTCCTCATGCGCATCTTGTCCCAAACCCATAGAAATACGCAGACAGATAGTGCAAGGTAGTAAAGTAAAGGCAGACTTATTTCAATGTATAGTTGTGGTAGTAGTTAAAAGATTTGCACAAAACAAAGTAATTAATCGAAACATGTTGCTAGTGTCTTTTAGACATGATAAACGGTCTTTTTCAGATACACGTGAAAGGCAGAGAAGCTCTTCACTGGGGATGTCCCCATGGAGAAGGGATCTGTTGGCTGCTTTGGAGTGGGCTGGCGTGAGCTGTGTGTAGCAGCCACCTGCAAAGCACCAGGCCTGTGCTCAGGGTGCTTTTCCTTCTCATTCCACCTCAGGCCAATCCTCCGTAATGCTTATTTTTCTGTGAATAAAGACAAGTGAAGGAGGCAGGGGGAGGATTTGGGAATGGGAGACCTGCTGCCATTTCTCTTGTGACATTTCACATACCTCTTACCTTTCAAGTACATGTTCCTGTCTGCTTAGTCTGTGTGACTTTTGTGTAAATTGGAAATCTCATTCATTTAAAAAACAGGCGATGTTAGTACACCATACTGTCACTGAAAATAGTAATGGTTGCTGAAGTAACAGCTCTTGGATAAACAGAGGTTTGCTCTGGGGAAGTGGAGTTCCTACTCTTCAAATACTGCAACACCATTCTGGGAATATCATACGGCTCAAAGGGCTTGTTTGTTGGTACGGCATTTTTCACTATAGCTGCTTTTTCCACAGCGAGGAGAACTTGTGCAGTCCCCCTGAGATCCCGTGCATTCCTTGCCTTTCATCATTCGATATGCGTTGTCAGCCTAGCTGGCATACAGACCAACCTGCGCGCAGGTGTGCTGAATGCACAAACAAACAGCTCACTTCTGTCTGAACGCTATCTTGAAATCTCTCTTTCCTTCCAGATGTCCACACAGAAGCAGTTCAGGCAGCCCTTGCTAAACATAAAGAAAGGAAAATGGCAGTCCCCATGCCCTCAAAACGACGTTCGTTGGTGGTACAAACATCAATGGATGCCTACACGCCTCCAGGTGAGCATCTCTGTGTATTTTATGAGAATTTTAAAAATGGTTCTTTGTGCTGCGATGAACTAATAATCTGCCTGCATAGATAGTAATGGAAATGTCATTTGAAGCCCATTGAGCGCAACTTAGAGGTGTGTCTGTTTGAAGAGGAGAATGTAAACTGAATTGTTGGAAAGTCAGCTTGGGCCGTTTGCATGATTGCTTTGCCCTTGATGGTACCTCAACTTGCATTGGTCCTTTTGGTCTTATGAGGACCTAACCATGACCAGCTGGTCATATTTTCTGTGATTCAAGTTACTTTTTGAAGTTTCTAGTTTATTCCCTAATGCTATAATGGAACGTTGTCTTTACAATTAGTCATGCCATTCCTTTTCAAATGTATCTGCTCTTTTACCTGCTAGACTGAAAATACCCCGCATCTCAGGCATTACTCGCTGAATCCAGCTGGGACTCCATTTCTGATTGGGGTGGCTTTCTACAATTGGAAAAGTTTTTCACAGACTTTGTGGAGTTAGCTTGGGAAAGTATTTTGGGTATTCTGCACTGTTAATACATGGTTGGAGATCTTCAGAAGATTCTCAAGCCACATTAGAAAGGATCTTTTTATAAAGAAATATAAAAAAATATTATTAATCTTTTATTATCCTTATTTTTGTTCAACAAAATACAAGCCATGGCACTACAGCAGGAAAGCTCTCTTGGTGCGCAGTCAGCGATGGACTTCATTTCAGGGCTTTCAGTATTACAGACTTTTCTTACTATGTTTGCCTACCTTCACGAGTTTTTCTTAATGACAGTTATCTTCAGATTTGTAACATGAACTTGCCTTATTTCTATTAAGAAAACCCCAAAGCACTGCAAGTTAACAAGCTGTTTTTAATTACTAGATACTTCTTCTGGTTCAGAAGATGAAGGCTCGGTACAGGGCGACTCCCAGGGAACTCCCACCTCAAGTCAGGGGAGTATAAACATGGAACATTGGATCAGTCAAGCGATCCACGGCTCTACCACGTCAACCACTTCCTCCTCCTCGACACAAAGTGGAGGCAGTGGTGCTGCACACAGACTAGCTGATGTTATGGCTCAAACGCATATAGGTTGGTATACGGACATTTTGAGTATGTCCAATTTAACATGAATTGTGTCTCTCACATTCAGCTGATGTTGCTATATGAAGTCTTATAAAAGTCTTTCCTGTGTTTTTTCTTCTTTCCTTTTTTTTTTCTATTTACATATATTATGTGAACACATAGTCCTATGTTCTTATTTTGTGAGGAAAAAATACCTGGCAATTTAGATTTGGGGGTAAACTTACGTTGTGGCAATCAGGGTCTAGCTGTCAGCTCCCAAATATCTTAAAACATGCAGTTGCATGACTTTCATTACTTAGCACTAAAAAAGATCTCTGTAGGATCCATCAGTAAGGAAAATCAGTGCATATAGCATTAGGGGTTGCTGGCATACGAGTTTCTCCTACTGCTGCACCATTTTAATTACGTAATTTTAATTTGAGTGATTTTTGATAATTCTGTTAACAGTAGGTCCTCTTAAACGTATTTTTTTTCTGCCCTTAATTGAGTCGTAGAATACTTGGGCTGGGATATCTAGCTATTATAATCCTTGGGAAAGACTATTATATACCTTCGGAGAAGGGAGCTGTTATTGTTATTAGTAGCTTGTTTATGTCCTTTGGAAAGATCCTAGGAAGTCAAAGCTTTCTTTCCATTAGGGCTAAGCATCACAGTCATTAATTATTTCTGAATATTGTGCCATTGACATTAATCTTCATTAAAATGAGGCAGCTATTCGACTAGGCACATGGAGAGCAAAGCTTGTTTTCCCTTCATTCTCCAGTAACTGCTGTTTATCATACAATGCATTTGCTTTGGGTACATTCTTGCTGGGGCTGTGTATTTTGGGTTGCCTCACTGAAAATCCGTTGGAATCTGCAGTGGAACAGATAAAGCAACCTTGCTACTGTTCTACACATATGACATTCAGTTTTGTGTGACTGTTCCTCAGCTGATCATTCCTTTTCAAGTATATGTAATGAGATACATGAAAGCATCTTAAATGTTCCTGATTTTATGTGCTGTAACAGTAGTCTGTATCCCCTTTTTTTTTTCCCTCTCTGAGTATAGCTTGATGTAACACCTGTATTTTCACATAAGTAATCCTCTCACCATGGTCTGGAATTGCTGAATTGCAGTCAGGGGAAGAATTTCTATTGTATTCTTAAATTCATGCTAAATGAATAGCTTAGAACCTTGTTTTAGAAACACATTCACTTCTGAACACATTAATCATTGCATTTGGTTATTTTCTGTGACTTCATCTTGAAATGCTAGAGGAAATTATAGCAAAGAGAATTAAATTTATCCAAACTCTAAAAGGTTGCATTACTCACACACCAAGTCTTAATGTGTCTTTAAATATAGCTTCTTTATAATGTGACATTTCAGTAATTTTAAATCTGGCACAGTAAGTCTTCTTTTATAATCACTGAGTTTGCAGTAAATAATATAGCATTTATAGAGCTAAATTAAGATGGCAGTATTCTGCAGAAGAGGAAAAATACTACTTCTTTTACTTGTTTTATTTTGCCTTGTTGTTGACTGGAAAGATCTCTCCTTTGAAGGAAGCAATTAAGCTTACCTCAGTGTATATGTATTTTTATTAGTTCTGACAATAAGATACCTTAAATTGCATCTCTAGTTGTGACGTAGTAATGCAAAGGTTATATGTACACAAAATATGAGTGATACCTGCTAACAGAGAGAGACTGTGATCTTAAGGTTATCATCAGTTGTTGTTGCTAAGATCATTGGAAATGTAAGAGAAGCTGCACAGACGATAACTATAAGATGTGTTTCTTCATGGGTGAGCTGCTTTCTGTAAGAATTTGAAATTAAATGGCTCTTCTGTTTCTTTTCAATCCGAGGAGGTGGATTTTGCATTTAAATGTATTCTAAGAGGTAATAGTTTTGAAGTGTTACCACAGATAGCCTTGCTCTTTCAGAAGCAGTGTGCCATTGATCATAGATGAATAATCCTCCTTGGTAGGAGAGAAGGCGAGCGGAAAGAGTAATCCTGTTCTCTGAAGCTCCTCAGCTACTGGAGACAATTTTGTTCTTGATCACAAAGAACATCTGTTCCCATGGCTTGATGTTTCTTTGGTCCAGGGAGTTGTTCTCCAGAGACAGATCAGCCTACAAGAGAGAAGTCATCTGTAAATATGTAAGGACATCCTGCCATACTCTGAAGATACCAATTTTGATAAATACAAATTTAAGGGGCAACAGGAAAGACCTTTAAGGATAACCAAAAAAAGCCCTCCATTCTGATATCCACTAGGATGTGACCTCCAGAGTGCATCACAGACTCAAAGGGAGATTTTTCCAGTTTAGCTACTGTAATGCAGTTCTGAGAAGGGATTTGATAAAAAGCTTTGACTATAATATAATCAGAGTTCAGCTTTGTGGATCACTTAGATAATTTGCATAAGCTGTTATATGTTTTTAATGTTATACTATTCATTTAATTTGGCTGCTGCTGCTCTATTATGGTGAAAGTTCTAGTTTAGGATAGATATCCTTTAAATATTTATTTTCAGCTTTAAGATGCTCAGGTTTCTGTACTAACCTCCAGGGAGAATCTCTAGTTTGGCATAGGTCTCACAAATGTGTTGGGTGATTCTTGAATTTAGAGGCCAAACCAGTGAAATCTGTAAAAAATACCTAATGTTCTGACCCATCTTTGGGCCAGTTCTATATATATAAACTTTCATTTGTGTCTTATATTTTTTGGTCTATACATATATAAAAATCAAGAAGAGAAAGCACATCACAAAGCTCAGAAAGCTCATGTAATGAAAATCACACAGCACTTACCTATGACTGTAAATTTATATAAGAGTTAAACATCTCACTACAAATTTTTGATCCAGTAGGTGCATTTAATATTTCTTTTATATGCTTCAAATGTGTCTCTGTTTGAAAATCAAAGGTCTCTATCCAAATTAAAGGCTACACAGAATTCTAATAAAATAAATATATAAACATGTGCCATAAGGCATGACTGATTGTTCTCTGACAACCTTAAAATTTTTATGTGTTCTGAGGGCAAATATTAACTTATAATACAGAAGACTAGTTTAAAATACTGCCTGTCACCTGGACAGCAATATGGGAGAAACCCAGCCGATGGAAAAACCCACAGCTCTGACTCTGGATTTCACTCCCCTGACAACCAAAAAAGCCAGCTTGTTTGGGAGAAAAAGCTACATTTTCTTCAAGTATAGCATTGCAGGGATGCTTTTTGAGTTTCCGGAGACTTTTCAAATACATGGTGCTTTCGTGGGCTTCCATATTTCCACTGAAAAGTATTCCTCCACCTCTTTGCTTCTCCTCAGACATAAGGCTCTGTCAGTGCACACACTCTATCCCTCTGTGAATGTGCTCTGCATTGCTGGTTCGTTCTGATTTTCATGAAATGGGGTAAATTATATCACTCCAGTGGCAGAAATGGAGAGAGCCTTAACTGGAAACAGCTGTTCTGTCTGTGATCTTCTAATGCAAGAATATTGAAGGAGATGGGAAGAGGAGGTGATGCAAATATGTATGTTTGATGGAGGAAATGCTTTGAAGTCATGCAGCTGTCAGAGTTTTCTACTTTCTAGTCAAAGAATGTGTCAAGATCATTATTCTTAACTAAACCTCAAACAGTGCTTCAAGTTACCTGACATAAGACCAAGCAGCTCTATACAGGTTGTGTCCATAGTCTAAGCCTGGATTGACTGTTCTATACAGAAAAGGGTACATTTCACATAACATAACAATTATCCTGTTCTTTAGAAGTCCTTCAGACCAAGTTTTTGTTTGTATGGCTTTCATTTCTCCAAGCCTGACTCTGATGAGGGAACCAACTGAGGATTTGTAAATCTAATGGATGAAACCTACAGCTGTTGATCTTGCCATGATAAGACATCTGTTAAGCAGATACTATAAAGGAACACAGCAAGACAAACCTTAATGTTCCTCCGTTGCTGGATAAGGGTTCTGCTTAATGGGAATGTAAATAGCAGGTGGGCAGCCAGGGTGCTAAAACCCCACTCTTTGGCCAGCCAGTGATGGCCACCTTGGGAGGGGAGTTTCTTTTAGGTAATTTCAAGTGCCAGTGCTGCTTATTCAGAAGGAAACACTTTGACAAGAGAGCATGAAGCTTCTTTCTCAGGTTATTTCACCCTACTCAGCACCATGTGTTACAAAGAAGTATTTGGTTTCAAGTGTATAGATCTGAATGGACAGCATCTCTGCTTTGGGGGTGCTTTGGATCACGTATCTTCTCTCCCATGCATTAAAAAAAACCTCATCTCAGTGCTAAAATCTGAAAGGAGATACTTGAACTCCAATACAGTTTGCCTTGTAAAGTCTGAAAGATGGAAATACTTCACTGGAAAGATGTAAACAATTATAACTAACTTTAAAAATACTCTCTCATGTTACTAACAGCTGACTAAGTACAATTATTTTCTTAGTCATGATCTCCTCTTCTATTTGCATAGCAAAACTGCATTATAAGTAAAAGATAAAAAGATAAACATCAGCATTTTTTAATTGACTTAGTTATTGGGTAATTGAATCATGATCTATAAAAAGCTCTTGCCACTTAGCAAGAAAGGGCAAAAATTGTGCTGAGTCTAAAATAGTTGATAATGACAAGACATCTAAAATGAAGACATTATTCAAACAATTACCAGCATAAGCTTCATTGTCCAAGCTATTATATTTCAGTTGGTCATTTATAGCACAGTATAAGGTGTTTGTTTCAGTAAAAAATATAATAATGGATGTGATCAGAATCAAAAGGCTCAACCGGACATGTGTAGGATGCAAAATGTTTTTGAGTTGCACGATAAAAACTATCTTGTGTTTTCCTCAACCAGATACTGTGGTTGAGTGATAAGGTTGAGTCCTTATGATGTTCGTTAATATAAACATTAAATAACAACTACAGACATTAATATCATGTCTTAATTTTTCATTATGAGTGTCTGTCAAATGCTACCTTTGTATGAGAAGTATGCAAAATGCGCATCTATTATAGCATCCTGTTACTGTATGTGTAGCCTTAAAAATTAGTTATCTGTGTTGGTGGTGCATGAATTTGGGATTGAATGCAAAAGAATGACAGTGATCCAAAGTTCAAGACTCATAAAAATGCTTTATATATTACATTTGAGGTGAAATTTGCTGTAGAAGTTGGTGTTGTAGTAGACTTACAACACCATAATGCTTATAGGACTGATTTAATAAAAAACATATCTTGAAAATAGTATTGGAACAAGATAAAGTTTCTCCAGAATTTTTGCATTTTTAAAGACTTGTATTGTGAAACGGAGTGCATTCCTCTTCACTTCAGCGGCAGCAGAATGAAGACCTGCCTTCTTTTACCAGCCTCAGAGGCTGCTGGGTAACATTTATGTCAGTCGAGAGAGAAGTTTTTAATTGCTCATGGTATTTATCTCCATCTACTCTAATGCTGATAAAAACCTGGGAAAAAAATATGAGACAACCCATAAAAATAGTACAAATACGTAGGTAATACAGACTCAGACTTGAAAACATGGGAAAACAAACTGTGGTAGCATGCTGAGTTATTGGGCTATGAAAGAGAAAGATTAGCTCTGTGGAACTGTTTAGCAGTGCTGGCATGAGTCAGACCAAATTGTGTTTGCCTTCTGGAAGGCGAGTCTTTGTTACGCGAAAGAATTGAAATAGCTCTGTCTAAAAATAGTAGACAAGCAAGTGTCCATGCAGAATGCAAAGTTCATGTTTCTTTACATTTTCTTTCTTTCCCCGGGATTCCAACCCTGCTGTGATTGATTTTTTCCCTAATATACGAGCAAATTCCTTTCTTAACTAAAATTGACGTATTCAAAATACAGAGGTTGTAAAAGGGATATCCATTGGCACTTGCAAGTGATTGACAACATGCTGTATTCTTTTTATTTAGAGAAAAAGATGCAAGATCTATCAGAAGTATGTTTGTCTGGTCTTTTCTATTTGAGGCTGTTCACAAGCTTTAACTTAGTATAAAATGAAATGTCAGTGGAGAACCTACAACCTAATTGTATAATTTTTCTAGCCTATTGCTTATATGATTGCAGATATACAGCCCCTGTTTTAATCAGTGGAAACTTTATTTATTAAAATCATGCTGTAAATTATAGTTGTGTACATACATTTTGTGCATTAACTTTAATGCCTGTTCAGATGGTGGGAAAAAAAAAATCAAATGGTATCCTTTCCTCTCCCCTTTGCTTTTCTGCCCTTCAACACTAGAGGTACATGGTTAAACCTTTCAACTTATTTTTCACAGAAAATCATTCTGCCCCTCCAGATGTTACCACTTACACCTCAGAACACTCAATACAAGTAGAAAGACCACAAGGATCAACGGCACGGGTGGCACCAAAGTATGGAAACGCTGAACTTATGGAGACTGGTGATGGTATGTCACAACGCAAAACTGGCTTTTTTTCAAGTATCATAACCTTCGTAGTGGTTACTGTATGCATCTGCTCTTTGTTTCTTCTGGGCACTTTTCACTTATAAACACATACAAAGTTGCAGCGTCTTTACAGTCCTAAAATAAACTGGTATAAATGAAGCCGACATAGAGAAATATTTTTTAATCAGCAGAGCTGATTCTCTGTAGAAATTGTTTGGCAAAAGAAAGCAATGAATCTCTTTAGATCTGCTTTTATCATGCTGCCTGGTTACAGCTAGTCTGTTTTTTAAATGGCAAAGAAAATGACATGCTAGGATGGCTACATCTTAAAAAGTGATGTGTTTGAAGTTTTAGTTTCTGAGTATTTTTTTTTTTGAAAAACAGTTATTTGTAAACCCTTTCTTATTTACTGCTCCTCTGTTCTAAAACTTATTAAACAATATTTCAGCAAGGTGTGGACTAGTTGACCAAGTGTATCGCATCTAAACTTAGCAACTTCAGCTTTAAGAACCAATTTGTAAAAGCTTTGGAGCCAACCTTATGGAAGGGTAGGAAGTTGAAATTCCTGTAATGCAGTGACAGAGAGCTGTTAGTTCAGGAACAGATGACATGAACGTTGCAGAGGCTTTGCACTCGACTAGGGAAAAGGAAGGTGATTGATGGGATTACATTATAAAAGTGCCCCTTGCCCCACGCTCCTGTTCAGAATTGTGCTTTTCAAAGTGCTGTGTGGGCAGGCGCGCTCCCTTTGGAGCTTGCTGGCTGGTGGGATTGGCTGTAGGGATGTTCAGGGAACACAGGGTCATGCTGAAGTAATACAAAGATGTGAACCATGTTTAAGATGGATATTGGACAGACGTCCACTGCAGTGTAAAGAGCAACCCAGAATAAATGATGGGGCAGAGCCTGTGACCCCCACTCCTTGCTGAGCTGCGGTCTAGTCAGACAATGTCGGTATGACCAGTGATCGTGGGGAGAGCCAATGCCTGTCTTCTCACTGACCATTGCCAATGCCACCCAGAAGAGTTCTCTAAGGTTACTAACATTTGCTCTATGGAAGGGTTTTTCGCTGTGCTTCTCTCCCTCAGTCTATGTGCTGTTTCCCCTCTAATTTTGCAAGCTCACTTTGACATTGTTGTATTGTTTTTCTTTAAACTAGGCATCATTGTTCCTTTTTGCTGAAATGATCTTGATGTCTTAATGTTGAATACTTGAGTCACGGTATGGCATGAAACTGTAGTTGTGGCGGCCTTGCAGTCCTAGACTTTTTCTTACCCCACTTAACGTCTGGTGGCGTTCAGCGTAGCGGTCGACTGATGTCTCCATTGATCCCTGTCCTGCAGGAGTACCAGTGAGCAGCAGAGTGTCAGCAAAGATTCAGCAGCTGGTCAATACACTAAAACGGCCCAAACGACCACCATTACGAGAGTTCTTTGTAGATGACTTTGAGGAATTGTTAGAAGGTAAAATGACTGTTTTTCAAAAGGTTTGGGGATCTCTTATTAAAACTCTGTAAAATGTTTGTCTCACACATTGACTTTCTCAAAAACTAAGTAAGCCCTCCATGTACTGGCAAGTACCAAAAAGCATCAGTATTCAGTGAAATCTGCTTGTAGTGAGCTTGGACGTAGTGCTCTAGAGTCAAAAGCCTCTCTTGCTTGCTCAGCTCCTGGTTCTGCTTGGAAAGAAATGACAGAAGAGAGTGAAGCTCTACTTTGAGAACACGCAGCTGTGGGTTACAGCCGTTGCTGTTGAACAACAATATGAGAAAAACTGTCAGTGAGGGAGCATGTTAAATGTTTTACACATCATTTGTGTAACAGTGAAGCATTGGAAAATTAACTAAATATAAGATAGAAACAAGGATAAACTCAATAAATGGAATTTTTTCTTTTAAGGAGGCCAGTGCTTTGAGAATTAAGATTTGCCAGGATGTGGAGATTTAAGTAGTCTTCATAATAGTTTATAAGAAAGCAATGTAACAGAACATGACTTAAATCAATCTGTTACTGATGACTTGTTAAAGTACATTTTTTCAGTAGTTCTGCAGTTCATCTCATTACTGCGTTTTTGCCAGGAAAAAGTCTTCTCCATCTCTCCTTAGGAGTAAAGAAAGGTTGATTATTTCAAAGATGAATATATGCATGCTGCCTCAGCACTTTCTTTCCCTGCTTGTAGAGCTAGTGTAAGCATAAGCACGTGCATTCCTGAGATGTTTCAGTTGCTTCATCCCTGTTAAAGTTAAAAGTTAATTATTCTGTTACATTTCTTTGTTGCTTCTCAGTACCTTTTAACATGTTATTATTTTCAGGATATTTTGCAAAGGTAACTTATTCTCTTGGTTACACAGGTGTACACAGGGTATAGAATTTACATGGTAACTGTATATCTTTTCATAATCATAAGTTCAACAGCCAGATCCAAACCAGCCAAAGCCAGAAGGAGCTCAGATGTTGGCTATGCGTGGGGAACAATTAGGTGTGGTTACAAATTGGCCGCCTTCTCTGGAAGCAGCTTTGCAGCGATGGGGGACCATCTCACCGAAAGCTCCTTGCCTAACCACTATGGATACTAATGGAAAACCACTGTATATTCTCACTTACGGTGAGCACTCTTCAAATTCCTTGTGCTTTTATTTATTGTATACAGTGTCTGTGTACATACTAAATGCATAAATATACAGTGGAAAAAGCCCTCTAATGATGCATCTGTTCCATTTCTGAGTAGGGTAAGGCAATTCTGAAGCTGTTGGTGACTGAGTATGAATTGCTGAGATGCTATAGTATGATTTATTTCACAAAGAGGAAGAGCTGAGTAGATACACCCATGGAAGCACAGATTATAAATTAAAATCACCTTTTAAATAGAAAGACATCCTAGGGCAGATTTTCCTGAAGATTAACATCTAAATCCATTGCCCTTGGAAATTCCCCAGGCTTTGCTCTGCAAAAGCAGAACCTGATACACAAAATTCACCAGCTTCCTGAAGAAGTTAAAATAGGATTTGTTTTCCTGTGTTCTGCTGGCATTGTAGTAAGTGTGATTTGAATTATTCCTCCTCATATGTAGCTGTACAGCTAGCGAATGTACCCCCTTGAAATAGATTTGCCAGGATATATTTCAGTGTGATCTTTGGTATGTTGATATAGTTAAATGTGTACTGCCTGACAATCTATTGCCGAATAAAAATAGACATAAAGATATCTCTGACAAATAACTCCCATATAGCTTCTAGTTTTGAGATGTTCAGGGGACATTTGGGAGATGTTCAAAGGAATTATTATGAATAACCGTCAGACTTTGAAAGCAAGTTGGGACATTTCCGTATGCTATTGATATGGATATAAAAATGATTTTGCTTTTTTTATTTCTACCTTTTCAGGGACCTAGAGTTCTGTGCAGAGAATGTTTTTACATGCTGTGATACAGAGGGCTGTCTGTTTTGTTCAGTGCTGAATGCTCCGTTCCATTCAGGAGTCAGACTGATGGTCTCTGGCCAAAAAGATGTCTGCTGCAAGTTTGGCATTGCAAATATAGTGAAAGGCTTTTAAAGCATAACAGAACCTTTGCAACTGAAGGTCATGCATGAAACATTTTCCCTTCAGGTACCTTAGAGTTAAGAACTTACTTAAATTAGGGGGCAAACATATGATTCACTATTGATCAATGTTTTTCTTCCTTAAGGACATTTACTTGGAACTAGAGAAGAATTTTAAAGTTTGCAATTACATGTTTGCAGCAGAGCAATTCATGTCATCTACTGAATGCCCTAAATAAATTGGAAAGGAAATTAAGATGTTAGTGAGAATCAGACCATTTTTCTGAATATGGGACTCTGTCCAGAGTCTAAGCAGATGTTCTGCTTGGCCTGAAGGGCTGTAGGCTGAGCAGATCAACCTGAGGACTCATCCACGTGGCTCACGAAGCCACCTAGCCTGCTTCTCTGTCCTAAGCTAACTCTTTCCAAACCCCTTTTCTAAATTGTCCAAATTCTGAGAAAAATGGGACTAAAGTTCATGTTTTCATTACTTTCATTTGGCAGCACTCTAGGATATGATTCTTGCTGTTGCTTTTCAGTAGTTTCTTGAGGTCAGAAAAAATCTATTTTTTTTCTTTTTTTCCTTCTTTCTATAGATAAAAGAAATTACAAACCACAACATTTCATGAGAGATTTAGTGAATTCTTCTCTGCTAGCTAGATTTCAAGCTGACATTCTTCTTCATAGGAAATGTCCATTCACTGTGAAATAACAGGGTGTTTTTTATTTAAATGACAACTGCTTTTGAAACATCATTAACGTTACAGCCACCTGCCATTTTATTGGTGACTTTATGAGTGATTTTGCTGTAGGTATTCCACTTTTCATGTTTGTAATATTTTCTAGCAGTTTTGGGCATCACGTTTTTTAAAGTTGAACATTAATAGACATTAAGCCTTGGACTCAGCAAAGAGACTCTTATCTATGAATTTTTATCCCTGTGCGTAGTTCCACTGGCCCTGGTGGTAATAAAGTTTTGAAAGATGAGCTTAACCCACAATCCTACCACATGGTATTAATGTGACACTTCATTTCCTTGTGTGCATGCTACAGTCAGATGACTAAAACTTCAAAACATCAACATTGAGGAGTTTCAGTAGCCTCTGAGTTTGTACCTCACAGTTATTTTCAAGTACTTTGGCAATTTAAGGAAACACCATTACCAGGATTTTTCATATGTTCAGTATTTTGGCAAATATTCAAGAGTTTTAAGAATAATTCTAAGTTTCTAGAGGTTCAGTCTTTGACATGTTACCAGCATGGTCACTGTGCACCTTTTCTTTAATATCGTACCTCTGTTTACTGTTCTCTGCATCCATCTCCAGACTTCTTTCCATCTTTCCAAACTGGATTCCAGGAATGTCTTTGAAGCTGTCAACTAGGTCATAGCCCATCTGAGTAGGAGTACTTATTCCCTTAACACCAAGCATATTTATCTCCTCCTTTGTGGATCATTGTAGACAACATTGCCATCCTGCCCGGCACTCGGGCTCTAACTTGAGTATCATGCATACGTTTCTTTAGTTTTGTACAGCCATTGTGTGTCAAAACCTTGCAGGTTATTTTGGGAGCAAATCTTTTCAGGCTTTTTGCTGTATCTATACAGTGATATCTCATCCTGTCCTTCACCTTAGTCTTGATTCTTACAGCAGGTTCTCTCTGGCCCAGCAAAATGCAGTGCTGGCCTGTTGCATCTATCCAGGATGCTTTCATACTTCCTCTTGGTAGCCTCACCTACTGAGAAGAAGCTCTCTGAGAGCCCACAAAGTTCTCCAACACCTTCCTCACAGCTCTCTTACCGTCCTGTCCGGCAACATCCGAGAGTGGTCAGACTGATGGCCAAGCAATGGCATACTGTGGCAGACAGCGGTAGATTGGTGTGATAAGACCACCTTGTGTGATTTACTGGAATGAATTTCCCTTTCTAACAGTGACTGATGTGGATATGATATGGTTAGTGTGGATTTAAGTGGCAAGTGCTCTAGATTGTCTTGTGCTGTTGTGCCATAGGCAGAACTAGTTTAAAGAAGTTATTCTTTGAGCTGTTACTTAAAATCATCTCTGCCTTCCCATTTCTCTGCGGGAATTCATCTAATTTGTAATGCCTTATATCTGCTGAATCTTTTCCAGCATGTTCTTTGAGCTTTTTGTCTTCATAGCATGTCAGGACTGATTTCCTCCATGGGTTTTGGATTACTGTAGATAGAAGAAATGAATAACTGCACCTCTTGTAGACTTGATCTTTATTTTAAGCAAGTTTTTGAAGTGATTTGCCTTAGTTCTTGAAGTTCTTCTCAGTGCCCCAGTTGTAATCTTTATTTAATGTACGCAAAACTCTTAAACTCTTTCTAGTGAATGAAACACTAGATAGAATGAATATTACTTATTTCTCAAATACTTTGTTCCTCTGGGAACTTGGTTAAGTGGAGAACATCTTAGTTAAGTTATTCACAATCCCTTTATAAATCAAACCGCTGAATATGCATAAAATGAAATGTCTGAGATATGGGAAGGAAAGATGTCTTTATTGAAATGTATGTAAGTCTGAACTCTGACTAGAAACCTAATATGTGCTTCGAGGAAAAGGACAACAATTTCTGGCTCAAAGTTAATCAGAGTAGTCAGGCATCTGGTTTTAGTATTGTTGGTGTTAATAATGAAGTGCTTAGTGATTTCTTAGAGGAGAAATGTTAATAAAGGACAATTTAGTCCTATATAGTACTTACACTATCACAGTTACGTTTCTCACTTAAAATGATTATTCTAAGAAGAATCAGAAAGGCTGGGGGAAAAGTAAAAAGCTGAAAGTAATTTAGGAATGAGCAAGTTTTGAGCTTTCTTATTGTAACCATTATTAAAAACAACAAAATGAGTACCAGTTAACTACATCTGATTCAAAGAATCTCATTTCCTTTATCTAACACTTTCTGTAATCAGATTTTTTAAAAACCATTTTCATTAGCTCTGATGTATTGTTTCACACATCAGAGGCCCATTGGAGACAGCAAGGCTAGCAAAAAAGAGCAGAGAAGGCTCTCTGGATAGAGAAGTATTTTTTCTTTATCCATTTGGATTCTGAGAAAAAAAATGCCTGAAAAATGACTTTTTTTTTTTTTTTTCAAATGAATTGCCCATAAAAAAACCTCAACGCAACTGTAAACATTTTGTGGCCAAAGTCACCCTGCCTAGGCAGAGGTGATGTAGATTGTACTGGAGATGATACCCTGAGATGGCTGAACCTTAACAACAGACCCAAAATAGCCAACCCCAAGCAGTGCTGCAGCTGCCATCCGACCCAGCCACCTGCATTCTCTTGCTGCAAGAATCTCCTAGGCCAGAAATTTCACAGTTATCAGGAGGAGAGAGAGAGAATCAGGACTCTTCTAACCAAGAAGCTACATAACCAGACTGTCTTATCTCTGAAATAACACACTGCTTGCAGAGGTATGGACAGTCGTGGTCCAAGTACAATGACAGACATCAATGTTATGATTGTTTAATACTTTAAACCTTTATTTCTTTGATAAAAAGACAGAAAATTACGTTAAGAAGTCTGTATTACAATCTGTGATTAAGACTGGAGTATCAAGCACTGTAATAACAAGGTTAACTCTATTCTGAGTATGTCTGGACTCTTTTATTCTCTGCAACAGAACATTTTTGTTATTTTTCTTTGGATTTTTTCTCCCAAAAGACAAGAAGTTCTTTTGCTGCTCAGGATGAATCTGAAGAGTTTATGAAGAAAGGGTTAACAGAGCAACAGAACTGTGACTATTATTTTGCAAAGCGGAAAAAGTCCCCCTTTACCTGCATAGCATTAGGAAGTTTGCCATTTACACCAGATTTAATAAATACTCTTGTTTCTATTTAATACAAGAAATGTCATACTGTGATATTGAGAAAATGAATATTTGACAAAATTATTTGCAGTTAAACTTTGGCAGTCTCGCAATTGCTGTGCACGGAGATTGGTAAGCGACCGCTGGTTTGGCTTTGTTGAGTTAGTGCTGTGTGGTGCTGAGGAGCATCCTGAAGATGATAAGGAAATCGATTGTGATTTGTTTTCTCTCTGTTTTCTCCCTGATACAGCTTTTCTCTTATAACCTTCTTTACATTCGACACAAACATATAGTCCTTTTACAGGTTTGCAAAGGTAGAGGAAGGAGATTTGTTTCAGAGTCACGTGAAAGCATCTAATTTTGTTAACTGATCCCTTTTTGTGTGGTTTTTAAGACCTGGTGGTTTCCTTTATCCTCATAATGTGTTGCTTAACCAGATGGGACTGGCTATTAACACAGTCTGGCTTGCTAAATTTTATTTGGTAAAAGATACTGCCCTCTGAATAGACTGTTAAAAAAAGAACAAGACTGAACACAACTGAAATGTAAAATATGTGCTTGCTGGTGTAGATTTGCTACTATTTAACTAAATTAAAATTCCAGCGGCAAAAGAAAGGGACTTGCCCCACACAGGAGTTAGCAGTGTTTGTCACAGCTGCCAGAAAGCGAGATGCTGTTTTCCATCCCGTCCTACCGAGAATATCTGCGCATGTGATGTCTGCCAGATGCGGTTCTGCTTCAGAGGCATGGTGGTACTTGCTGGTACTTGCTGGGCAGCAGGAACACTCAGTTTACTTTGCAAGTGTGTGAAGAGCATTAGAGGTGACTTGGCCTCCCGGCATAAACACGCTGCTGGGGCGTGCAAGTCTGGCGGCAGCACTCCAGGACAGCGACAGAAGTGGCTAAGGAAGATACGGTCATCTTTGGAAGAAGAAGATTTATTTCAGTAAATGCTTTAGTAATTATAAGTTAGGCAATGATAGATACAGAGAAAAGCTTGATTTCTTACCATCTCGTGGAGTTACTCAAGATCTTGGAAAGCAGCACCACAGTTAGCAGCTTGATGGGAGGTAGGAACAAGGTTATAATTTGTAGTAGCGGCAAGGTGTGTGTTAACTGGATGTTGTGGGATTTTCCCAAATTTGTGTTTGATTTTCCCAAATCAACTTGGGAAACTCTGCTGTGAACACCTACCAATCTGCTTCATTTGGGAAATAGTTTTGTGACCTGAAAACTGAGAGGTAATTCAGGTACATCAGGCACATCTAGTGCCCCATGTTCTCCATGATGTGTGTGTGTGACTGGCAGACACGGGCGCAGGGTCTGCAGAGCCTGGGCCTCTTCTGGAGGGTACCCTTGTGCCTGAAACACCACTAGACACTCAAATCTCTTGCTAATGACTTATCCCTGTAGATGTCTTACCAATTCTTCATTTTTAAATGCAAGAAAGCAGCTGCTCATGTATGGCTGGTGAGCAGATCAGAGCCTGGCAGGGGCAAATCCTGTCCCTGGTGAGGCAGGCAGGAGCGTTGTTTGACAGGACCCCGCTGCAGCGGGGACATGGGTGAAGGTGAAGAAGAGGAGGGCTCACGGAGTCTGGTCTTTACCTGGGGGAACGGCGGGGAAGCAGCAGTGCTGCTTGAGGTTCCTGCACCCAATGGCACAGGCTCTGCCAGGCTGCAGGCAGGGCTGAGGGAAGCTTTCTGCTGCCGCAGCATGGCTAGAAGAAAGGAGCTCCTGCACTGAGCTGAAACACGGGCTGGTCCGCTCACTACTAAATAAAACTGTTGCTTGAGTTTCCTACATCTACCTTCCTGTCTTCAAGCCAACTTATCAGAAGATTAATGGCAGTGTGTTGATCTGAGGAGGACCGGTGCTTCATTGCACTCTGGCTGAGGACAACGGGGCATTATCCTCAGCGGCCCCAAACAGCCAGATCTCCGCTGTAGCCTGTGCAACGAAGACGGTTTACCCTGCGCAAGGACGGGCCCGGCGGCGCTAAGCCCTGCCTCGGAGCGCAGGCCTTGGAGGCAGCACAGCTGGCCTCCCCGCCGAGGCCTCCCTCCCGCTGCGCAGATGTGGCACCGTATGGAGGTCGCGGCAAGGTCGCAGCATCGGGATTTGTGGGAGAGGTTTTAGCAATCGGCTTTTTCCCAGCGATGTCTAATCTCTCAAGTTTGCAGAGGAAGAATTACACTGAATTGCAACCCAGGCAGAATGAAGGAAGGAAATACTTCAAAGATTTCCTTCTTTATAACATCCTCCGTTACTGAGGGCTTTTATCCTGCAGTCGTCGAGTCCCTTGTGTTTCTCAGGGATGTTGGGGGGGGCAAACAGCCAAGGTGGCAAAATAAATGCACGGTTCAGTCCACCTCTGGTCAGAAGCTTGTGCCCCATCCGGCAGCCACAGATCTGGCCCTGATGATTCATACATTCCTGGCTCCAACTTATGGATTACTGCTCCTTTTGTAGCCCTTTTATTTATTTTTTGGAACACAGCTATATACCCTGGAAGAAAAATTATGGGCTTCCTGTTGGAACATGATCCAGTTGAGGATCCGCGTGGACTTTGCTCTGCCTGCTTGCGAGGGCGCCTTGTGGGCTCTGCCTGCCCCGGCTGGGCTGCTGCTGCCCACGCTGGAGAGGAGGCAGCAGCCGGGGGCAGGCAGACATGGAGTGAAGTTACGGAGCTCTTCAGGGCTGCAGGAGAGACCGTGTATTCCAGCTCCTTCCCAACAGAATGCAAACTAGCTTTTTTTGTTCCAGTTTTCCAGAGTTTCATACCCATAGGCACATGCAGTTAGCTCAGCTAATTAATATGGTTTGGTGTTGCACCAGTAAATAGAGCAGGGAAGGGCTGTGGTGACAGAAAATTAGAGTCTTTTCTGACCATTAGAAAATATTACAGGTATTTTTTGTGCAGGTCGAAGTGTATTTAAACAGAAAGGTGAGGAATTAGGGAGGCAGCCTTATATGATCTGTTTCAGAAGCTGAAATAAAATTTTGGCAATAAAAGAGCACCATGACAAAATGTATTTAAAGACTTAATTATTTAAAACTTTACTAGGAAGTACCCTTTTACATTTTCTTAGTCTTTGAGAGAATTTAATTTCTGCATTTACTCAGATCATTCACGTGGAAATGGTTGTACTGCCTACCTGGGTACTTCTGAAAAAATGCATCTAAATACTTTAATATGAATAGCCCTTAGATTTTGAAGAAAATATTGCAAGATGGCACATTTGATGATAGATGAAAAATTAGTGTGAATATGTCACAAATGCAAATTTAAGACTTGTAACAGATTTAATCTCTATAGCTCAGACAGAACTTTTCACAGCAGCCCCTTATGTCTCTCAGAAAAGAAATTAAAAATTCAATGTTCATTTCAGGCTTGAAAGTGTTTTGTGTAAAGATGGTTCTTTCTTGCAATTCAGAACTTCTGCCAGGCTTTTGATTTCCACTCTGCAATTTTCTGTATCATTACTAATTGCTCCTTTAAGTTTGTTGCCACTGAAACTTTAATGTTGGAAAACTTTAAGAAAAAGAATATTTGCTTTCTTAAGGCATCTTTGGTTTTGTCCTACTCACTTGTCAAGTTCAAGTGTTGACTGTAGCAGCAGGGATGCTTTTAAAGACTTTCTTTCCATCAAATGCAGGTAGTTCTGCCATAGTGCTGTGAGGGTTAATCCTGCAGACGTACTCCTGTATCCATGCTGAGTTTCCAGTGGAACAGAATTGAATCATGTTTATTTCTGAGCTTCGAGGAAGTTCAGCATGCAAATACTGGAGTAATTTTAAATAAATTAAAAACTCTGCAAAATACAGTTTGATGATACAATATTACCATTTTCATAAGAAGAAATTGCATGTAGTACTTTCTCAATAACAAGCAGCAGTGACCCTTCCAATTTTCCTTAAGGGGGGAAAAAAGAAAATCTGGCCTTCTAATCCTACGTTGTATTTACGTCAGATTTGCACTTAAAAAGAATTCAACAGTATTGCATTCTATAACCAGAATGTGGAAGAATTTGTTATAACTACTGGGCTTAGTTATAAATAGCAGTAGTGCCTGTTTGGGAGCC